TGGGGATGGTGTTGCTGGTGAATTAACAATGAAGTTTGTTGTCGAATACTTGGATGGGAGGAAACAGATCTGCTCCTGAAATAGAAAGTGTTGCTCACTATGGTTCTCAGCTCTGTGTTAGAGTCTCTGGGAGTACAAAGATGAATAAGACAAGAACCCTAGTCTAATACCATTTGGCACTTTCAGAAGGGGAAGCAGAAAAGATGTAGAAGATTGAGGTTTCCAAATTGCATGACATTTGCATGGGTATCATAGAGGTGACTGTGAATGATGGAAAGATCCCGGCAGACACAAGCTGAGGATTCAAATTCATTTAATATGAGTTAAGGATGCAAAAATGTCTTTGCCCATAGGTAGCTGCCCAGAGCAAGGGACTGGGAAACACAGCAGCCCTCCCAGTGAAAGAAGTGCTCAAACACTCCTGTTTTTAAACCCCACAAAGGTACTCCTGCTGATGAGAATAGTGATTAGAGTGAGACTTCTCATGGCTCTTCAGGAAGCTTGTTTGTCCCCTTTCTTATTCCTTGGGCCTCCTAACTGTTCCAGAGAAATTGGATTTATGTCCAATTGATCACCACTGCAAGTACCTGCTGTCAACCCCAGTGCATACCTGAGTGTTGAATTTGAATTTAAGTGAAGGAGATTCTTTCTAGGAATTTTATCCTCCCTAGCAGCACTGAGTCTCAGGCAGTCTGTATCTGCAGTTTGCTGCAGAAATTAATGACCCACTTCAGTATTTACTAAGAATTGGACAGTGATTGTCTAAGGAGAGAAATAGCTCAATAGAGAATAAGGAATAAACATACACACAAATTTAATTTACAGTAAAGGTGGCATTAAGAAGCAGTGGGGAAAGAAGGACTGTTAGAAATCCTTTGGGAAAAATTCTCACACCATATGCAAAAACAAAATTTAGGTCGACTAATGATCTAAACGTAAAGTTAAAGACATAATATGTATGTGTGTGCAGAATAAAGTTTAACATTTTTATAATTTTTAAGGGTGAGGTGGACCATAGTAGGTGGCCTTTTAATGAAGATGGGTAACTCAGAATCTGCAAAAAGAAAATGTATGGATTTTACTACATAAAAGTGACAAAAATCTTTTTTTTTTTTTTTTAAGGATTTGTTTATTTACTTGAGAGAGAGTGAGAGAGAGAGAGCATGAGAGGGGAGAGGGTCAGAGGGAGAAGCAGACTCCCCACTGAGCAGGGAGCCCGATGCGGGACTTGATCCGGGGACTCCAGGATCATGACCCAAGCCAAAGGCAGTCACTTAACCAACTGAGCCATCCAGGTGCCCGAAAAAAATCTTTATGATAAAATAAGAAACAAAGTTTAAAAGAAAACTGAATGAAAATGTTTTTTATATATACACACACAATACATATACATACATATACATATCACACATATCTTTGTGCATCTTTGTTTTTGTATGATGCAGAGGGAGATATCTATATCTAATAAAAGTTATTTCTAATATACGAAGAGTTTAGATACTTCCATAGGAAAGGTGCAAACTAAATATCAAAAAATAGGCAAAGGGTAGGAACAGGCAAACCTCAAAATAATGCAAATTACCAATACACATATGAATAAATGTTCACTTTCACTAGGAATCAATAAACTGGAATTTAAAACCAAAAAATGCTGGGCACCGGGGTGGCTCAGTTGGTGAAACATCTAATTCTTGATTTTGACTGAAGTCATGATCTCAGGGTGGTGGGATTGAGTCCCAAGCCTAGCCTATGGAAGTATCTAAACTCTTTGTATATTAGAAATAACTTTGCTCTTAGCAGGGAGTCAGTGTCTCCCTCTCTGCCCCTCCCCCACCTTTCTAAAAATAATAGTAATAATAATAAATCTTTTTAAAAAGGCAACAAAAGGGGTGCCTGGGTGGCTCAGTGGGTCAAGGCCTCTGCCTTCGGCTCAGGTCATGATCTCAGGGTCCTGGGATCAAGCCCCACATCAGGCTCTCTGCTCAGCAGGGAGCCTGCTTCCCCCCCTCTCTCTCTGCCTGCCACTCTGCCTACTTGTGATCTCTCTCTGTCAAATAAATAAATAAAATTTTAAAAAAAATAAGGCAACAAAAGATGACATTTAAAAATTCATCAAATACACAAAAATTAAAAGCAAATAATATTCAAGTACTTACGGGATGTGGGAAAGGACATTCTCCTACATTCTTGCTGGGAATATAAATCGATGCAGCCTTTTTCTGAGGACAGATTGGCAATTATCTATTGAACTTTAAAATGCACATACCTTTTCATACAATAATGCCCTCTTTAGAAATCTACCACAGAAAAATAGAGGTGTATAAGGATATATGTGGTATGATATGTATTGTAGTATTAGTTGTAGTAGCAGAAAATTATTATCAACCTAAAATAGCTAACAATATGAAAATGCTAAAACAAACTATAGCATAGTCATGTAATGGAATACAGTGAAGCCATTAAAAGAAAGCAAAACAGTTGGTTAAGTAACTGCCTTCAGCGCAGGTCATGATCCCAGGGTCCTGGGATCGAGCCCCACATTGGGCTCCCTGTTCAGAGGGGAGCCTGCTTCTCCCTCTCCCTCTGCTGCTCTGCCTGCTTGTGCTCTCTCAGGTAAATAAATAAAAATATTAAAAAAAATTTAAAAATGAAAGAACAAAATCTACAGCATTGATGTGGTAGGACGTGATAAGATGTCCGTGACTAAAAAGCAAAAAAATCAAATCAAGGAATATATGTATATGCATCATGTTTTGTTTTGGGTTTTTTTTGAGAGAGAGAGTGTGTGCACATGCACGTGTGTGCGCACATGTAAGGGAAGAAGCAGAGGGGAGAGGGAGAGAGAATTTTAAGCAGCCTCTCTGCCCAGCACGGGGCCTGAGGAAGGGCTCAGTCTCATGACTTTGAGAACATTTCCTGACCTGAAACCAAGAGTCTGAGGCTTACCTGACCCACCCAGGCGACCCTATACATCATGATTGAATCAAGGGTGGATGGGTGGGTGTAAGTGTATGGGTGTGTGTGCACGTGATTATAGGCCAAAAAATTGTGAAAGTCTGGGAAAATACTCACTGGTTAAAAATGGTTACATACTGGGCGCCTGGGTGGCTCAGTGGGTTGAGCGACTGCCTTCAGCTCAGGTCATGATCCTGGACTTCCAGGATCGAGTCCCGCATTGGGCTCCCAGCTCCCTGGGGAGTCTGCTTCTCCCTCTGACCTTCTCCTCTCTCATGCTCTCTCTCACTCATTCTCTCTCTCAAATAAATAAATAAAATCTTTAAAAAAAAAATGGTTACATACTGAAAGAATAGAGGTGCTGGGATGAGGGGAATTTCCCTTTTTATTTTATATACTTGTGCAGTATTTGCAATTTATTTATTTACTTAATTTTAAGAGAGGGATGAGAGGGTGCAGGGCAGAGGGAGAGAGGGTGAGAGAATCTGAAGCAGGCTCCATGACCATTGTGGAGCCCAACACAGGGCTCGATCTCACAACCCTGAGATCATGACCTGAGCTGAAATCAAGAGTCAGGGGCTTTACTGACTTAGCCACCCAGACACCCCTACAATGATTTTTTTTTTTTTAATCTATAAAGACATAATGCTTTATAATGTTAAAAAAAAAAAGGAAAGAAATTATAAATACAAAACAAACTAATCTTTGACCAAAAAGAAAGAATTTGGTTTGAAGAACTGCTTTAAAGGAGATACAGGTAACTGCCTAATGAAAAACCAAATAAACAGAAAAACCTCTTTCTTGCGACTGTATTAACTTTCTGTATTTGGAATATATATTTTGTTGATTTCTCTCTGGTTACTTAATTCGTTCTATTTAATTGATAGTGTTTACCGGAGTTTAGTGAAAACTATTTTGTAAGTATCTCGGTTGTGATTTATCCAGTGTAGTATCTCCCCCAATGAATTGACTGTGAGTGGGCAATTAGTAAAGCAGATACAGATCTGGAGAGGAGTCTGTGGCTTTGCTTATCTCCACAGGAAACCTTATTTCATATTGATAAAGTTTGAAATCTTTCCTGTAACTCTTTCCAATTGTTCATTGTTGTACAGTTTTAATGAGGGGTAGAAATGAGCCAAACCAACCTGCTTCTTTCCTTTTACTAATTTAATTTCAAAGGAAATTTTTCAACTCAAATCAACCCAAATAAATGAGTATAGATAGAACGAGATTCTGACTTAACATGTCCAATTAATTGCTTCCAAACATTAAGATAAATTCCTTAGAAACACCCACAAATAATAATAATTTTTAAAAAAATCCCTCAGTAAAGAATGATTAGTGAGAAGTGAGCTAGCTATAACCATCTTTACTTACAAAAACCGTGTTTAAGTTGGCATTAGCATTTGCCATTTATTCTATTATAAATATCAAGATTTATTGTAGAAATATGCCACAGATAGCACAATAATAAAGAAAACAGACTCATCTCAGGTTTTGAAATGTACCTAACATACTCAGCCTCTTGCAAAATAACTTTCTCATTCAAAATGGAACTGGGAATTGTTCCGCACACAATGAATCATCTTTTGGCAAGTACAATAGAATCTTTAGGGACATTTCACAGTCTCTTGTTCAATTGTTAGGATGTTTTTAGCTTTCACAGGTAGGGAAGAAGGTAGCTTGTAGAGCCATCATCTTGTTGCTAAAATTGTATAGTAAAGATTTTTCAGAGTTGCTGTTGCAACATACCTTTTGCTCACCCCCCCCCCACTTTTCCTTCCTGTTTCTTTACCCAGAGCTGCTTTGTCTCTCAAAAACAATCTGGAATTACTTAATGTTAATGTTTTCTGGTTTTACTATTTACCCAGGACTCAAACATTAAACATTAGTGTTGGAAACTCCCTTTTCCTTACCTCATAGTCCTATATTTATTTAACTGTTATTTTGCCAGAAGAAACTCTCCTCTTTCCCTTTCTGTGCTAATGTACTCATTTTTTTTTAAACTGACAAACACATTTTGTTTTTGTTTTGCTTTGTTTCAGGAGGCTCTAGAACTACCCCCGGATGATTTTGAAGTGACTGAGACCACAGCCGGAAGTGAAGTGGTTAAATACGAGTATCATGTCTTATACTCCTGTAGCTACCAAGTGCCTGTGCTTTACTTTAGGGCAAGCTTTTTAGGTAAGACCATGTCGCTTGCTAAATGTAAATTCATAACATTTACATATAAGGCAGAAAGCAGATTTAGAAAATTATTCTTGAGAGGAAAAAAAAAATAAGAGTTAAAAATAAGAAAACTGTGGGTGAGGTAAGGTTTTACCAGTAAATTTTCTCATGCTTTAGAAAGAGTATCAAGACTTCAGAGTGAATGATATCATCCCAGCCTTAAGTCTGATCTTCAGATTCTTGGCCTCCTGCCCAACGTTGACTAAGTCCCCTGGCCCTTTTTCTTTTCCTTAAACAAGTAGGAACAACTTAAAGCTACAATGTTTGTGTACTTCTAACTTTACAGTAAAAATGTCTTTCACTCTTAAGTGATTCTGTTCATCAGAAGCTCCCATGCCACCTTCCCCAAATGCTAATAATGATTTCACAAACTCTTTATCAAGTAGTTCAAGCTACATTTAAAAATAGCACGAACATTTCCTTCGGCCATCTATACATCTCCAATGCCGTAGCTTCCTGAGATGCTGTTACTCAACTCATTCCCCTTGCCAAGAAGGTGGAACACCCTGTCTCCTCTGAGGCCTTGGCTAATAAAGCTTATTTAATCAGCAGCCACATGGAGTTCTCACCCTGTAGTGTGGCAATGACTCCCCCTTCTCATCCTCTGACTAAACCGGGTCAGCACTGCAAGGCCCTGCCTCCTTGGGCACAGGGACTACAGGAGCTCCCTCCCCAGTCCATCCCCTCTCCCATTTCTCCTTTTCTTTCTGGCTTTATCTGCAGCATTTTGCATTTTGAACAGCCTTCTAACTTTTTCTGAATAGCTAAGACATCTGAATTTAGCCAGTGATATTTTATTTTTAATTAAAAAGTAGCTTAAGCTGCTTTGAATGTGTATTTGGTAGATTTAATCATTTGCTGCCTTATATTGTTTAATGGTCTCTAATTTTGCAGTGTTGGCTGTTTAACAAGCACTTAGGATTTAAAACACAAGAACAAATTCTCATAGACTCCCTGGTGGGAAGATTTTAATCTGAGGTGCAGTTCCTAAGAACTGACAATTTGGGGTAAATTTTCAACATGGGACGTGGGGAATTGAGGACACTGATAGTTACTAATTCACAGGCTCTTGCTGCACATTTATCCATATGATTATTATAGCCTTTAAAACACTCACTTTATTGTTGTAATTCTCTTTGGTTTGGAGCCCAGAGGTTAAAGGAGGTTTATTGTCAGTGAACTCTGTTATTCTAAAAAGTAGAAGGGGATACATTTATTTACCATGGGGGAGGAGATATTTTTCTTGGTTTTGGTTTGCAGTGGCTCTACCTGGTACTTTTCTAGACTCAAAGACACATTCAAGGCTGCAGGTAGAGGAAATAGGACACTACTTCTTCAATACTGTACTTTCCTATAATTAGTATTCACCATAAGCAGTTAATCACCAGAGAAGAGCTCCCAGAGACAAAACAAGTTGTTTAGCTTGTCAGCATTAGGGAATCGGAGGTGTTGAAACATGACTGCTTCTAGCTGGAAGTGGGTCTTGCCGAGGCTGGTAGACGAGCTCATACGTGTACTTTGCTCTTATGTGCCAAGAGCTCCCCTTACAGTACGGCACAGTAATTGTTCCTGCAAGTCCAATTATATTTTAATGAAATTTGTAGACTTCCTAGATCTTTTCTTTATTATGGCTTTCTATTCCTTAAAAAAAAGAGAAGAGGAAAATATAAAAAAACAAATACCCCACTAGCTTTCTTGGATCCTATTTATACACTTACAAGACACCCTTTATTTATGGCCAGTAAAAGAAAACCCAAACAAGTCATTTATTTTGTGTGGCAGCATTCCTCTTCTTCTCTCCTCCCATTCTAGGTTGTGTGGAGTGAGCACCAGGGATTTTTAAATTCCAGAATTCATTTAATATTTACTCAGGTACATTAAAATATCTAATTTAATTTTTCCAAGCATACTGAATGCTTTCTTACGGAGAAACATGAAAAATGATTCTTTCCTTTATCATTTTCTAAGAATTTCTTTTCTCTTTTCTACTAACTTAACCTAATGATGTCCTAAAACATGTTTTGCCCTTTACTCTGGAGTCATAATTTTTCATTTATTCCCCTTAATCTATTCCCTTTTTCTGTGATATCTGATTACTCTGGCCGTCCATCTGTTTGTTAAACAGATCTCTGTCAGTGTGGTGAATGGATTCCTAACATCTTCCTCTTATTCCAGGTCCAGATTTTTCTTTGTCTCATTCTAACAGAGTTCCGACCTAGAAAGAGGATGATTATAAAAATTTCTTGCTTAGGGGTCTTTTTTGTTGCTTCAGAAATAGTTCACTTAGCCCTGTTTTTGACAGATATTTAGAATTTCTTCTGCATTTGATTGTTAGTAAAAAATTAGTTTCTCTGCTCTGCTCTGATTTTCTTCTGCTACTTTTTTATTTTTTTTAAGCAAAGCAATTAGTAGTAGTAATTCCCATTTAAATTGACATGACCTTTTCTTTTATCAACTGGTTTAGATTCCAGAAGAAATATTTATTGTGTTTCTTGAAATACAAATCTGTTGAATTGTGATTACTTCTTATTTCTCTATATTGGCCAGTGTCTACCAGGCAAACTGTGGCCTAGGACTCAGCTGACTTGGCACGTGCTCCTGTCACTCCCATGTCATATTTCATACCACATCATTTCACATTATATCACATATAATGTCGCAGATTTCACTATAACAGAATTATTTGTTTGCTTGTCCCCATTAGAGTGGTAAGCAAGAACATGGAGCTGTATGGTAAGAAGAGGAAGGAAGGAAGGAAGGAATGAATACCAATAACCTGCAAAGTGACAAGCTTTATTCATGGTAGTGTGTGTGTGTGCGCATTATACATATATGACATTTGTTATTTTTCTTACTCAATTTGATGCCCACAGTATCTGCTGTGATATAGTATCAACAAGTATTTATTGAATAAACCAATGGTGGGGAATTTCTAACCATTTCTGCATACAGCCCAAAGATGGAAACATTGTGATGGTACCTTATTTGAACTGCTCTGATGGCTTATAAGAAAGAGACTGATGTTGTTGTCTTCAGGAAGCTCAGTAACCAAAACATCTCTATATCTTTACTCTTTAGTTTGATACTTCTCATAGACTGCAGAAGTAGTTGACTAAGGAAAATGGCGAATCTTGAGTCCTTAAAGGGTGGGCATCCAAGCTAGCTGAGCAGCTGCCCTGCTTCCATAAACACGTATTTTTATTCGATCCTGGAAGGCTCATAGCCAAATTGCACCAGCATCCTGCTGCTGAGTACCTCTCCTTCCTACTACTTGGACATTTAGGAGCCCGATTCCCTCGGATTTAAAAAGAGAAATAAATCCTTTCCAGTATTCTTTTTCCCCCTAACTGCTTTTGCCATTTGAAGTTTGAAGGAAGTAATGGGACTCACTTAATACCATTTGTTACCCCTCAGTGGGTAAGAGGTAACTACATTCCTGTCCAGTAGTAATAAATAGCTTATATTCGAATGATGCTTTATATTTCACAAAGTCCATTCTCACTAAACACTGACATCTTCAGTGCTCACTGTTTCCAAACCCCCTCCAACTGGTTTTGAAGCACACTGTTTTTAAAAAGTATTTGTATCTTGCAAAAGGCTTTGTCTATTGCCCATCATTCCAGCACACTTTGTGTCCCATTTTTCTTTTCTGAGGACTTGGTTTTGGTCAAAAACTGGTGGCAAGTGTTAGAAATGTAGTAAAAAACTCAGCTATGTACATAGTGTCTGAGGGCTTCACCAGAGTCCTAAGCTTACATAGTTTTCCCTTTCGTTACAACTGGAGATTTCTATATTTATTTCAGCTTGAATTCTGATTTATTCCTGCCCTGTCTTTCTTCTTTTCCTTTGTTCTCAATCTCTATTGAAAAATAGACCAAGTGGTTCTTCTCATTTTCAAAATATTTAATTCTTTGGCTGACATATGGGTTCTTCTTGGGAACTGTTTTGACATATTTCTTTAATTAGTCAGAAGGGCTGCTTTTGAATAGGGAAGGCAACATTTCTTCCATTCAGCAACTGAATGTCTGTTCTTTCTGGAGATCTATTCTATTATTGGCCCAGGAAGTAAAAGTATAGAATTAAAAATGTAACCCAGATATTTCATGTGGAAGATTTGTCCATTTGTTATATGCGTAAAGGATGTTCATAGAGGAACGGGGAGAAAGAAATAGCCAAAGAATAATTATCTCTCAAAGGCAAACCGCGATAAAGGCCAGCATAAAGGAAGAATAATGGAAAGTTTGGACTTAGAGCAGTATATAAATCATCAAGGAGGAGGAAGAAGAGGCTTGTTCCACATGGTCTAGAACAAGAGGAAGTCTTTGGAGTGCATAGAAAAGATAACAGGAAAACAGAAAGATGAAGTTGGAGGAAGTCAGAGAATAAAAGTAAAATATCCACAGCTCTGTCCAACAATTTGCGAGGGAAGGTAACAGGTTGGCTTTTCTGAAGAGTCTGGAGAAAGCACTGGAGAAGAGGAGGAGGGTGAGTGCCAAGCTATAAGGCTGAAGAGAGCATGGTGTATTTGGAGAACAGTAAAAGCGAGTTTGGAGTAAAGGTGTCTTTAAGATGAACTGTGGACGAAATGTTTGGAAAGATATGCTGAGATCAAATTATGAAAGTGATGATGGGTTAGAAGGGGTTGCCAGCACAGTGAGAGTTAAGGTAGCTTGTTAAACAGGAAAGAAAAGGTGGGTTATAGAGGTCCTTAAAGATTGAGGCAAAAATGATTCTAGTTAATTATTACAATGAGCAGAACATAGAAAATGATTTGAAACATAATTTAATTTAGAGCCTTATTTGATTGTAGAGAAACTTTCAAGAAAGTTCATATGTGCCACGTAAACTTATATAAAGTTATGATAATGGAATGGAACATGAATTTTGGTACATTAAAAAGAGGTTCTATGGATTGAAATCAAATTTAAGAGCAAATAGTGAAAGTTATTAAGAAA